ACATCCACACTGAAATATTGAATGTTTTACACTGACCATGTATTACTCCTGCATGGAAAAAAAAAAAAAAAGAATACAATTTAAACTGGGATTGGGGATACATATCTGTGATCCTAGCACTCTGGGACCTCCTGCTTGCAAGGCAGGTGCTTATTGCCGCTGAGCTAAATCCACAGCCCCCACTCTGGGAAGTTAATGCAAGAGTATCAAGATTGGGGCTGGGGATTTAGCTCAGCAGCATAAGTGCCTGCCTTGCAAGCAGGTAGTCGCGAGTTTGATCCCCGGTACGGATTAAAAAAAAAAGAAGAAAAAGTAAAAAAAAAAAAAAAAAAAAAAATTAAAAGAGTATCAAGATTTTGAGTCCACAGCACACAATTTACTGAGTTAGCCAGAATCTGCCTCGAAATTTAGCAACAATGATGACAAAATACACGTGTGTGCCTGCTGGGGCTGTAGCTCACTGTAAAGCCTCTAAACTTAACCCAGCATCACCTTAAAAAAAAAAAAAAAGGCTAATAAATTTGGTGGACTCCTCAAATAGGCACAACCTCCCATTGAAGTGACCCTCAGCTCTTCACTTCCTTTGCAGGATACAGAGGAAGGTTGGGGACATCTGCAGATCCAACAGCAATGCTGTTTCCCAGGTTGAAAGTCCCCCAGATTACTGGTTCAGGGAGTGTGGGAAGAGACTCCCTTGCTTCTGATGCTCTCTGCCTCCCGCTTCACAGTGGCTCAGCTTACAGATCTCTTCCTATGTCTCAGGAAAACCATCATCCATTAGTAATGTTTGTGTACCACTTTATGCCGGGAACCTTCCTCTTCCTTTTCTTCTTCTTCTTTCTCCTCTTCTTCCTCCTGCTACTGCTTGTAAATCCAGTGATACTACAGTCAGTACCACTGACCTCGGGATGGGAAGAAACAAGCACACAGCTACCTTCTCCTTTAAAACAATTTCACCAGAGGAGCCATACATTGCATGATGTTATCTGCAAGGACAGAGCAGAGACAATCTTTTTCTTTTCTACTGGATTTCCAACACCTCTACATTGGGTTTAGACACTAGGCATCCTGTGATATAAAGTCTTGGACACTATGGAATGTGTGTGTGTGTGTGTGTGTGTGTGTGTGTGTGTGTACAGCCTTTGAGTCTAGAGGCTCTTCCTGGGGCTGGTCATTATTCAGTCAGTCACTCATGAATTCATTCACTAAGTGTCTGAGAGGTCAGGCGCTGGGGATTAAAGAGTAACAATAGAAACAATCTCTCTACCTTCTAGAAACTGACAGTCTATTGAATGACACAGTTGTCCAACAATTACAATTGAGAGTGATCAATCTTGATGGCAGGACTCTAACCTAGGGCACATAACTCAGCCTAGGGTTACTGACAAAGGAAAGCCTTCTGAAACAGGTGACTTTTAGGCAAAAACTAGACTGTTAACAAACGTTAAGAAAGTATACAAGTCAGGTAGCAAAGCTAGTATCATTTCTTTACTTAGCAATTCCTATGAAGTAGCGCGTGGAACCGGTACCAGACTCCAACAATGGAGTCAATTCAGGTAGGCAGAACATACCCTAAATTGATGTGTTCACCACAGGAGAGGAAGGCTGTATACAAATAGTGTAAAATTGAGTATAATTCCTTCAATAAACCACTGATCTGATTTTTCACAGTAAAAAAGGAGCTATTTCAAATCCACAAAGCAATCTTTCTGACTCAGCCTCCTAGAGTACTGGGATTACAGACATGCTACCACACCTGGCTTTATTTTTATTCAGTACCTAAAAATAAAATTGCTGGGTCATATCATAAATGCACATTTGTTTGTTTACTATATTGGGGATTTAAGCTAAGGCTTTCACACTAGGATACTTCTCCAGCCCTTTTTATTCTTTTTTATTTTGAGACAGGGTTTCACAATTTCCCAGGCTAAATTTGAATTTGCAGTTCTGCTGCCTCAGCCTTCCGGAGTTGCTAGAATGACAAGCATGTGCCCCGTTTCTGGCCTTCATGTTTCATTTCATAAGAAATTACCAAGCAGGTCTCCAAACCGGTTGTATCATTTTATACTTCCAAGAGATTTGCATGTACGAGATTTCCAATTTCCTGTGTCTTCGTGTCACCACTTACTGTTCATGTTTTTTGTTTTAGCCACTATAGTGGATGTTAAATGGTAGCTCATTGTGGTTTTAATTTGCATTTTTCTGATGACTAGTAAATCAAGGAGTTGGGCTTTGTGGGCAACACCTGCAACCCCAGCAGTCTAGAAGCTGAGGCAGAAGGATTTTCTCCAATTCAGATACAGCAAGTTCATGCACAGCCTGTACCATGTAGCAAGACCCTGTCTCAAAAAGTCCAAAAATAAAGTTACCTACAGAATATTCACCACACCATTAAATTGGAAACTACTGAACTACTTGCCAAAATGTGACCAGTGAAATAAATATGGTATTTTTGTTATTGTTGTTATTGTTTTGAGACAGGGTCCTTACTATGTTGCCCTGGCTAGTCCTGAACTCCTGGGCTTAACTGACCCTTCTGCCTCAGCCTCCCAAGTACCGTAGCTGCCATAAAGGCCACATATGGTGGAACTATATGATAGAATATGTAGCCATTAAAATAAGGTAGAAATGTTTATTGACATAGGAAAAGCCACATTATTATGATTATTATACACATTATTATGATTATATTATTTTTCATACCAGAAATTAAACTCAGGACTTTGTGCTGGCCAGGCAAGTGCTGTGCTGCTGAGCTACATCCCTGGCCCCTACATTATTTATTTTAGAAGCAGATTACCAGTTAAGATCAAGATAAGCACTTGACTACTCAGGAGGCTGAGATAGGAAGATTACTTGAGCCCATGCAATTTATTAAAAAATTTAAAACTGTATTACCAAAAAAATTATATTACCACATGTATTATGGAATGATACCTTTCTTTCTCTTCCTTTCCTGGACTGGGGATTAAACCCAGGGCCTTTGCTCTGACCTGCATTTTTATTTTGTTTCTCTCTCTCTCTTTTTTTTTTTTTTTTTGTGCCAGGGATCAAACTCAAGACCTCATGTTTGCCAAGCAGGCACTTACATTGCTGAGCTAAACCTCTGACCCCTTTTTCTCTATTTTGAGACAGGATCTCATGAAGTTGCTGAAATTACACAGGTTGTTTCAGACTTCTGACCCTCTCCCAGAGTCCCAGGATTACAGATGCGCTCCACCATTCCCCAATGACAGTATATTTTTAAGAGAAAAATATGTATTTATATATAATGAAGAATCAAAGGACATTAATCCAATGGCGAAAGTGTTTACTAATTGGATGACGAAAGTAACTTCTGTTCTCATGAGTAACTTCTGTTTCCTTCCTTTTGCTTACCTGTGGGTTTTTAGGGGAGTGGAGGACAGGGTCTCACTATGTAGCCCAGGCTGGCCTTAAACTAGAGGCCAGCCTGGGCTCTTGCCTCAGCCTCCCAAATGCTGGGGTTATGGACCACCACACCTGAGAAAATCACTATTGAAGAAAAGAATAAAAAATCTGACCAGGAGTATTTTTGTCTCTTCCATCATACTTCAGGAAAGGTCTGAATATTCCTCTTTACCCAAAACCTCAAACAAACATACATACCCTAGGTGACCAGATATGGTCCACCCCCACCCCTACCCCAAGGCCTATGGTGGCTCTGTCTTAAGGGTCCACCTTTTTTAGGTGAGGTAGTATGAGTCTTTGCACTCATCTATTATATGACAAGATCCTTCCAGTTTTTTCTTCTCTTAACTCAGGAATTATAGACTCAGTGATCTGCAAGGATCCTTTTCAGATGTAAAGAAAAGACAGAAACCCGAACAAGGGGCGTGCATGTGGATTTGAGAATGTGGCCATTACCTCCTAAGAAAATATGAGGCTGTGCCTTCAGCCTCGTAAGTCATTCTTAGGTCTGGCCTCATATGTCATTCTGGTCTTGGTGTAGGACTCTACACGGTATGTGCTCAGTGAATTACCTTTTTGTCTCCATCTACTAACAACTCCACATATTTCAGGTTTGCCTATCAGTGGTACTCCGGATAATGATCTGGAGCTCACGGAGTAGTAGAGCACACACTGGATTTTTTTCCTTAAGTAATCGGTACAACGTTTAATTGTAACAATTTTTCCACCCAGAGATCTACACTGTTATTTTTCCTATCATATTGGCGGCTAAACGTGGCCTTTGCCTTGAACTATATCCCTACCGCCCTACCCCCCCTTTTTAAAGACAGGGTCTTGCTATGTTGCTTAAGTTTCCCGGGTTAGGCTCAAATTGGAACCCTCCTGGCTCAGACTGGCTGGGATTATAAATATGGCTCAATACTCTGGTTGGACACCTTTCTAAGGCCGAAAGGCCAGTGACTGAGGATGGAGAGAACAATCTTCAAAGTTTCCCCAGGCAGGGCCTTGGTTCCAAGGACCTATGTCGGGGACTCAAGCCCCAAGTACCTTATACCTAATGGGTGTCCAGTCTGCTACTGGGCAGCTTCTGGAAACGTATCTGCTATGACCTACGAAGTTTCAGAAAAGTCCTAGTTGTCACTAAAAAGTTTTGTGACCTTGGACAAGTCTTTTCCTCTTACAGGAAGATTGCAGTGGGCTTAAGCACCTTCTTCCCGGAACTGCAACCCGGATGGCCAACTGTCGTGGAAAACGTGCCTTTCAACGTTTATTGATCGTCAACGACACGCGCGCGGAACACTAAAGTCAAAGAACTTCAGCGTTCGCACAGCCGCAGTGTGGAGAACTCGCCCGCGCCCCAGCTATCGCGAGATCGCCTTGCGCCGCGTGACGTCATCCCCTCGCTGGCCGTGGCGGCCGCAGCGACCACGCGTAGTAGACCCACAGGGGCGGCCCGTATCCCTCCGCCGTCGGCGCGGTCCGGCCCTCCATTCCCGGCCCGCCAATCCCTGCGCCTCCCGACCTGCCTCTCGCCCTGGGCCCACCCCGTGTTCCCGCGGCCCCACCCCGGCGACACCGCCCGCCCGCGCGTCCCTCTGTCCACCTGCAACAAGCAGGAAAGCAGGCAGGTCCTTCGTTGTCCAACTGAGCGTCGCTTGCCTTGCCGAGCCGAGGTGTGGGGACTGGGTCCCCGGCGGAGGGATCCGCGGCGGCTAAGGAGGCGGTGCCGGGCTCAGGAGGAAGAGGCAGCGACGGCGGCGGCGGCGGCTGCGGCGGCGGCGGCGGCGCCAGCGGCAGCGGCGGCGAAGGCTGGGGCGGCAGCGTATAAAGGAGCCGCCGCCGGGTGATGCGGTTAGCGCTGCGGCAGGCCCAGAAGCCTTGAGGGCCCGGAAGCTGTGCGGGCCCTGAAGCTGTGCGGGCCCTGGCTCTCAGCCCGTCCTGCCTAACCTGCGCTCCCGAACTTACCATCTGACCCGCTACCGCCGAGGCGGTCTTAGGCCCCCTGGTCCCTTCCCCGTCCCTCCCCGCCCCCGTCCCCACCCCGGGGGGCCGCCGCCACCCGCCTCCCGCCATGGCTCTGAAGAGGATCCACAAGGTAAGCGGCCCGAGTCGCTGCGGGGAAAGGCTGCGGCCTGCACTGCTCGGAGCCGCCTCCCCCGGGCTCGCGGCCTCGGGTGCCCGCGGGGCGGCCTTCGCACCCCACTCCTAGTGATGGCGCCCGCTGAGGCCCGGCACTCCTCTCGCACTAAGGTTGGAGGTAGTGTCGCCCTCCTACCCCCGCCGCGTTCCTCGTTGTTGTCTTTCTGGGCAGGCGTGCTCCGGGACCCGGGGCCTCCTCCTCTCCAGCCCGGGACTGCTGCGCTACAGAGCTATTGTCCTCCGGACGGGCCGCTAGTGGGGGTGGGGATCCGGGGCGTTGGGCAGCCGGGGCGACAGAGGTCAAAAGGGCTCCTAACCCGGTCTCTAGGTGTCTCCCCCCGCCTCCACGAGCCCCAGCTGTCGGCGCAGAAATCTCCGGGCCCGTGTACATGGGGAGGGGGGTCGTCACCGTTTTGCCCGGTCTACTACTGTCTTGGGTTCTCTTAGCTCTTGACTAGCTGCACACTTTTTATCTTGTCCACAAAGTGACACAGTAGGAAGTTCAGAGGGGGAAAATGTGACTTACATGAGGGAGGAGGAAAGTAGAGGGAGAAGTGATGTATTCCTGGAGATTGCCATATGTAGTCAGAAACTAGCACTTCAATTGTGCAGGATTGGATCTAATAGAAAAGCTGTTGAATTGGCAAGGGTGGAAGCCACTCAGTTCAGAAACTGAACTTTGAAAACCACTGAAGAAATTACACAAGGGTTCCTTTCACGGTCTCTTGACAAAATGGACTTAACTCTGAAATTAGGTACCACGTTCAGGGAAGCCTTTTAATTTAGGAGGGGTTGTGCTCGACTTCCAACGAGAAGAAATTTTTTATGCTTTAAAATGAAAGGAGACTCACTTAGTTACAGATAATGTAGAAAATATAAATATACCTATAGGTAATGTAGTTGTGGATGCAAATAATACATCAAGAGAATGGGTGTGACTTAAAATTTAGAGATTTTTTCCCCCTGCTAACTTGTAACTTCCTAGTGCCACTTACTGTTCGGTTTTTTTCTAGAAAGTGGCAGGTATCATTGGTGGTTTTTGCTTGGTATTTCATTGGCTACTAAAATTGGTTGCATTAATCCCCTGGCTTATTCATGAGAAGTAAGTCTTCGAATTATCTGTCGTGAGCGATGTGATGGACATACAAGAGGAAAAGAACCAGTTTTCACTTTGCCTTTAAGTCAGACTACAGATTGACAATTTAAACATTTCAGTTCAGCAGTTGGACCTCATTTCACTTGTGATGAAAGATCTTTAATGTGGAATTAATCCTACCACTTATTATAAATAGTTTAGCTCCTTATCAGCTTCTACCGGCTGCTTTGATTTCTTTTTTATTAATTATGGTACTGGGGTTGAACTCAGCCCTACCCACAGAGCAATGTTATATTTCCAGCCTTTTTGTTTAAAAATGTATTTTTAATTTTGAGACGGGGTCTTACTGGCTAAGTTATTCACACTGAGCTGGCATTTAGAATTCTTCTGACTCTGCCTACCAGATTGCTGGGATGACACATGGGCAGTGCTGTGCCTGTATTTTTTTTTTTTTTTTTTAAGCGATACCAGGGATCGAACTCTTGACCACGCGCTTGCAAGGGAGGCACTTATGCCGCTGAGCTAAATCCCCAGCCTCCAGGCCTATGGTTCCTTAGTTTCCTGGTTTTTTTTTTTTGTTGTTGTTGTTGTTGTTTTTTCTGAAATAGGCTCTTGAGTTTTAGACTGCCAGGTGCTAGGATTATAGGTGTATGTCCCACTCACGGCTGTTTTTTCAGTTTCTTACAAACAAAAAGCAAGGGCTGAGGATTTAGCTCAGCGGCATAAGCACTTGGGCGCGTGAGTTCGATCCCTGGTACCGATAAAAAAAAATTAAAAAATAAAAAAGCACATACTTTAGACAGTAAATACTGTAGAAAAATGAAGCATGATACTTGTTAAAAGAACTGTGAACCTTAAGCAAAGATCTCTTAACGGACCTTTGAAGGACCAGGAGCACACTGAAGAATCCTCATTAAAATATGTATGTCTTAAGACTTTTAGGAATTACTAGGAGGTCCTACTAGATCTAATTAGAAAGTTAGCAATTTGAGATTCCACTTGATTTAAACTTGTAGAATATTGTGCTCTTACCTTAAACTTTGAAAGGAGCAAGTGAGTTTAGTATATAATAACTTTTATATCAAGAATTGAAGTATTTACTCTCTTCATTGTCTTGGGTCTGGCTGGCCTGGAACTGAACTCTACAGTGATCCTCCTGCCTCAGCGGCGCCCCCCCCCCGGGGGGGAGGGGCAGGCTGAGATTACTGGTGTGCACCAGAGATTTCTTTAGAGAGCAGTAGCACTTTGACTGAAAACACATTTCAGGCTTCTGATAATACCCTTGGTAGTGTGGTTCCTTATAAATTACTATTCTCAGGGGTAGATTTTCTCTGAAATACACCCCTCACACACACACATTTTTTCTATTTTTTATTTTTTTGTTAAACTTGGGATGAACTCAGGAGTTTACTCTTGTTTTTGTTTTTTGGCAACAAGGTCTCACAATGTAGTTCAGGCTCCTTGGAACTTACTATGTAGCCCAACTATCAACTCACAGTGAACCACTTGCCTCAGCCTCTGAAGTGCTGGAACTACTAAATACCATTAGTATTTAGTAGGTGTGTGCCACCATGCTTGGCATTTAGGGGTTCTCTCATACTTCTAAATCATTCTATCATGGAGTAATCTCCCCATCTTCCTCCCCACCTTTTGTTTTTACCTTTTTAATTTTTTGGTGCTGAGGACTGAACCCAGGGCTTCCATTTAAGCATTTTATCCCTGAGCTAAATTCCAGCCCCTCTAATCCTTTTTGAAACAGTCTTGATTTTTTTTGGGAAGGAGGGGTTGGGAGAGTCTCTTTTTGTAGTTCAAGCTGGCTTTGAATTCAGGACAGTCTTCCTGCCTCAGCCTCCCTAGTGCTGGCATTATAGCACCACCATGCCCAGCTTGAGACAGTCTTGCTAAATTGCCTAAGCTGGCTTCAGATTTGCAAAGTTTGTAGTCCTCCTGCCTTAGCTTCTGAAGTAGCTAGAATAACAGGTGTGTACCATGGCTGCAAGGCCCTCATAAAAACTTTAGTAAGAAAATTGAATTTAGAGATAATAACTTGAGAACTTCTAAAACTCATTGTTACTGCTTTTCACTCTGGTGTATAAAAACCTGAGCCTTCCTAAAGTATGGCTTGACTTCTTTGAAACTGCCAGAATTAGAAAAATTTATTTATTTGGTACTGGGGATTGAATTTGGGGTCTAGTGCATGGTAGGCAAGCACTATACCGCTGAGCTACATCCTCAGCCCTAAATTTACTTTTAGTATACCAATCAAAAAAAAAGGTTGTGATAACAGATGTAAGTAATTTTCTTCAAATTTTTTGTAAGATACTCATTTAGGTTGAATGGCAAGCTTACTCACTATAGATAAGAAAGCACTGTCTTATCTCAGTTTTAATAATGTGTTTAGAAGCTAGACTCCCTGAAAAGATTTCAGGGCTTATATAATTGGCTCTTGGTGTTTTTTTTTTTTTTTTTTTTTTTTCTCTCTTCTTGGTGTTGAACCTTCCTAATTTACCATTGTCTGAAAAACAATTCTATTTAAATATCTTTTTAACTTCAGATATCATGAACTGCTGCTGCATCTGTGTTCTAATAAATACTTTCTAAAAAAAAAATCACATTTGACATGGCATTTTTAAGAATTCATTATCTGTTTCTTTGACAGAGGGATGCTATTTGTGTCTGAATTTGGCAGTCTTTTAAATGCCATGTCTTTTTTGGAAACAGCTTTTGATGGACTTTATTTGGAAATGCATCTTAAGGTCTCTGGACCTATGCTTTAAGCGAAATACACCAGAGCAAGACATGAACATACATTGTAGTTCTGGTGGAGATTGGGATCCTCTGGGGTTTTTTGTGTGTGTGTGTGTCTACACCAAATGGCTGTAGCCTGCTATGTTTGAGGTTTTTCTGCTGACTTTATAGGTCTCCTGCTTTGATTTTGATGCTTTGAGTGCTTGCCTGTAGAAGCACCACCCCCAGCCCTTTTCCATTTGACTGTGTATCATCTGTTGTGGGCTAAGAAACCAGATCACGGAGCCTATTAAAATTGTGTCTAAAATAAGATCCGGTGGGCTCTGAGTGAAGAGGGCTTCATGTGTTCTGTGAACTCTGTGGTCTCTGATAGATCAGGGACCTTTTTGACCTGATTCTTATTTTTCCTTTTGTTACAGGAGGCTTTTTTGTAAGTGCCACAACATTGATACACAGGATTAATTTCTCTATTCTTGGGAAAGGAATATGTTGATTCTTTCAGAAGTTGAAGATTCACCAAGGTTACAATTCTAAAAAACTTTAGAAAAACAATTAGAAGTGCCAGCCTTGATAGTGCATGGGGAGCCCAAGACAGGAAGATTGCACCAAGTTTGAGGCTATCCTGGGCTACATAGTGAGTTTAGGACCAGCAGAACTATAGAGCAAAGCCCTGTCTCAAAAAAAAATTTTTGTCCTGCTAATCACAGTTAATACTTGGTATACATAATTTTACAACGAACTAATACCCAGAGTCATCACTTGATCTGTTCTGTTTCTGTGATAAAGATTTTTATGGCTATCTTTGCTTCTTTTCTTTTGGGGGGGGGCAGAGTATCACTGTGTGATTGAGGCTAGCTTTGAATTTACACCAGTCAGTTTTCCTGCCTCAGCCTCCAAGAGCTGAGATTATAGGTGTGCACCACCGTGTGTAGCCTATTCACAGTTTTCAATAAACTAATAACACTTTTTTTTTTTTTTTTTGTCTTTTTCCTTTTTTTTTTATCAGTACCAGGGATTGAACTCACAACTGCCTGCTTGTAAGGCAGGCGCTTTTGCCACTGAGCTAAATCCCCAGCCCCACTAATAACACTTTTTGATAGGCCCCAGTTTAA